GATGCTCTTTCTAATGCAGTCCAGGAGGCTGCTGCCTTCTCTACCACACCGTGCACGCCCATGTTCAATTTGGTATCTACTAGGTACCCCAGGGCCCTTTCTGCAAAGCTGCTTTGCAGCCAGTCAGCCCCCAGTATGTACTTGTGCACAAGGTTATTCCTCCTCAAGTCCAGGATCTTGTTGAACTTTAGGAGGTTCCTGTCAGCACATTTCTGGAGTCTATTGAGGTCCCTCTGAATGCAAGCTGAAGCACTTGCTTTATCAACCACTCCTCTCAGTTTTTTAATCATCTGCAAAATTGCTGAGGGTGGACTCTGTCCCATAAGGTGGGATGAAGGTATACAGGATCCAGCTTCTGGGCTATATCATTAGCACCCAGGCTTCAACTGGACTTTGTGTCACTGAACATAATCCTCCAAGCCTAACAGGTCAGCCAGTTTTCAGTCCACTTCACTTTTACTTTTTCCATATTTTAAGTCTGTCAATAAGGATGCTACAGGTCAACAGTGTCAAAAGTTTTACGAAAGCTGAAATAAACATTCATTGCTCTCCCCTTGTCCACCAAGTCTGTTATCTCCTCACAGAAGACTAAGATAAGGTCAAACATCCCTTTCCTTTCTTAAGTCTGTGCTGACTACTCCTAGACCCCTTCTTGTCCTTCCTGTGTCTGGAAATGCTTTCCAGGATTAGATGCTCCTCCATCACCTTCCCAGGTGTTGCGTTGAGCTGAGGCTAACCAGTGTGTAGTTCCCTTATCATAGAATAGTTTGGGTTGTAAGGGACCATAAAGATCATCTAGTTCCAAACCCCCTGCCATCAGCAGGGACACCTTCCACTAGACCAGGTTGCTCAAAGCCTCATCCAACCTGGCCTTAAACACTTCCAGGGAGGGGACATCCCCAGCCTCTCTGGGCAACCTGTTCCAGTGTCTGACCACCCTCACAATGAAGAACTTCTTCCTAATATCTAATGTAAACCTCCCCTCTTTCAGCTTAAAGCCATTTCCCCTTGTTCTGTCATTAACTGCCCTTATGAAAAGACCTTCCCCAGCTTTCTTGTAGGCCCCCTTCAGGTACTGGAAGGCCGCTATAAGATCTCCCCAGAGCCTTCTCTTTTTCAGGCTGAACAGCCCCAACTCTCTCAGTCTGTCTTTATAGGAGAGGTGCTCCAGCCCTCGGATCATCCTCGTGGCCTCCTCTGGACTTGTTCTCTGCTCCACTTCTTTCTTGTGTTGGGGGCTCCAGAACTGGACACAGCACTCCAGGTGGGGCCTTATAAGAGCAGAGTACAGGGGAAGAATCACCTCCCTCGACCTGCTGGCCACGCTTCTCTTGATGCAGCCCAGGATACAGCTGATCCTCCTTCTTGAACAAAGTAACAACATTTGATTTCTTCCAGTCCTCAGGAACCTCCCCCAGTTGCCATGTTTCAAACTTTACCAAGAATGGCCTTGAAATTACACTGGCTAGCTCCCTCAGCACTTGTGGATGCATCCCATCAGATCCTGTGAACCCTGATCATCCTCTGCCAGGGTAAATTAGGAGCAATGAAGATTTTACCAAAGGTCTCAGGGTCCTAGGCTTACCAGCAAAGACCAAGGCAAAGGAAGCACCAAGTACCTTGGCTTTTTCCACACCATCTGTCACCATGGCCCTTGCCCCTCGAGCAGCAGGCCCATGTTTTCCCTACCCTTCTTTTACTGCTTATGCACTTGTAGAATTCTTTGTTGTTGCCCTTCATGCCACTTGACAGATTCAACTTTAGGTGAGTTTGGACTTTCACTGCACCCTGCATGCCCCTCTGTACCTGCCCCTGCTTCTATCTTCTGTACAATTTTTTTTATGTCTGAGTTTTGTCAAGAGCAACTTCTTCAGCCGTAGAGGCGTCCGGCCACCTTCACTTGAATTCCTGCCTGTCGGAAGGACCATTCTTGAGCTTGAAGGAAGTGATCCTTGAATATCAACCAGCTCAGGTCAGGCAGTTGGACTAGATGTAGGTCCCTTCAAACTGAACTATTCTATTCTCACCTGAAACTCTCTTTTCTCTCATGGGATTCTTTCAAGCAGATCCCAGAAGAGGCCCAAGTCTCCTCTTCCCAAGCTCAGGGATGGGAACCTGCTTTTTGCCCTGCTTCCCCCTTTCAGGATCCTGAATTGCACCATCTCATGACCGCTACAGCCAAGGCTGCCCCCAGCCTTTGCCCCCCCAGCCAGTTCTTCCTTGTCTGCAAAAAAAGTCAATCCGGCAAAGCACCTCTCCTCTTCATCTCCTCAATCGCCTGTGTCAGTTACCATCAGTGTACTTCAGAAACCTTCTGGATTGCTTGTGGCCTGCAGCACTTTGCCTTTGGCGGATATTGTGGTGATTAAAGCCCTTCATGAACACCAGGGCCTGCAAAGATAAGGTTTCTTCTAGTTGTCTGAAGACCTCATCTACTTCTTCCTGATGAGGCAGCCTAGAGCAGATGCCTACTACAGTATCACCCATGTTGATCTGCCCTTTAATCCTAACCCATAAGTCTTAGCCAGCATCTCATCTGTCCCTAGGCAAAGCTCCATACATTCTTGCTGCTCTCTCATGTAAACAGCAATTTCCTCCCCTTGCCGTCCTAGCCTGTCCTTTACAAAGACCCTGCATCCACCCTCTGCAACACTCCAGTGGTACAAACTATCCCACGTTTTTACACCCCAATGAGATCACAGCCCTAGTACTGCACTCAGATCTCTGAACTCACCCGTCTGTTCCCCATGCCGCACGTGTTAATAGTGTGTAGGCACTCGGCACTCCAGTAAAGTTATGCTGATGTCTCCGAAAAGGTACGAGAACTTCCCTCACAAGGCTGTCCCCTCCATACTCCTCATTTGTGTGCACACACTTGGGTGGACCCCCTTCTGCCCTGCTATGTTGGTTTCAAGGTCTCTCTTGACAACATCACCCTGCACTTTCTGCTTACTGACCTGGTCTAGCACTTCCTCACTCAGTTGTGGGGCACTGTGCTCCCCCAATGTTCAGAGCTTAAAGGGATCCTCTACACCAGCATCCAAGATACACCATACAAACCTAGTACTGAGAAAGTCAAGTAAGTATTTGTATTGTAAAACATATTAATAACAACAAAAATTCAGTTGTGTCAGCACTGGTTATTATTTCTATAATATGAATTCTAGAAATAATCTCAAATACACTGTATTAAAAAAAAATCTTCAACTCTATTTAAAATAAAGGTGTGGAACTTTCTGAAAATGCATCTACTCTGATTGTGTTATTGTTTTGTGACTGTTGGGGCTGGGGAGTAGAACTAAGAGACAAGAATATGGTGTTGTTCTCTTTTCCAAATTGAAAAATGAAAGAAATTAATAAAAATGTCCATAAATTACCCTTATATTAGGAATTTGGTCAAATCATAACCCATGAAGCTTCTGTTACAACAAAATAAGAGGGCTTTGCTCATTTCTGCATCCCTTAAGATGATTTTTTTTTTTCCTTTTAGTATGTTATCATGAGTCTTTCTGACACTAACCACAGTTTCTTGAAAGGTGATGTCCCCACGGGTTTTGGATGAAGGCTTTATTTCCAGACTTTTTTGTTCAAGGTTGAAACAGCTATGTTCACTTTTCCATGCCTGACTTCTACGAAACAATGTATTTCCAGGTATATATTAGACAATGACCACTGAACCACTCCCTCTCACAGGCTGTGAACACATTCATTTTCCCTCCACAGGACACAGACTGTGCAGTGCATCTCTGTCAGGCTTTGTAGAGCTGCATGATATCCAATGGCAGAAGAAGGGCTCAGACTGTCCGTGTTAGCTTATTTAATTAAGTCAATACTTCTGTAATCATCTTATGGCTTACAATGGCCAGCTTTTATTCATCAAAAATCTGAACTATTTGGTATTTGAGTGTTTCTGTTACAAATATAGATTCATCTTGGTAGGAACAGACAATTAAACTACTGCTGAACAGTAAGTGCTTCAGGATTTTTTTTTAATAGGTAATTTTTTTTTTTTTAAATCAACACTTGTGTAAGGTTTTTTTTTCAAAACAAGACAAAAACTCTGTCCACTCAAGATGCAAGAGTGCTCTAGTACAGAATCACAGAACGGTAGGGGCTGGAAGGGACTGTTGAAGATCATCTAGTCCAACCCCCCCTGCTACAATAGGTTCACCTAGAGCAGGTTGCACAGGATCACACCCAGGCAGGTTTTTAATATCTCTAGAGGAGACTCCATAACCTCTCTGGGCAGCCTGTTCCAGTGCTCTGTCACCTTAAAAATAAAGTTTTTCCTCATCTTCAGATGGAACTTGCTGTGTTTCAGATTGTGCCTGTTGCCCCTTGTCCTGTTGCTGAGCACCACTGAAAAGAGTCTGGCACCCTTCTCCTTCCACATTTCAGATATTTATAGACATTGATAAGGTCTCCTCTCAGTTTTCTCTTCTCCAGGCTGAAGTCCCAGCTCTCTCAGCCTCTCCTCATATGGGAGATGCTCCAGGCCCCTCATCATCTTTGTGGCCCTAACAGTTGTGGCCAACCTGCTGTTAACATGCTTAAAAGAAAGTCAGACCATGCAAGAGAGGTCACCCATTTAAAAATGCATGATGTTAAGTCTACTAATTTGACATTGGCTGAGGAATGCTTTGTAAAAGGAACTTGAGTGATGACTCTAAATCCAAGGTGTTTACAGATGAAAGAAAGACTGAGAAATCTGGAAGAAGACTTAGCACTAGAATCCAAAAGAGTGGATCTAACAGAATATCATCTGTTCAGCAAATAGATAAGATTAAATTTAAGAATGGATACACTTGGCCAGCCATCTATGGCTTTATATAGTCATATGACAGCACTTGATATTCAGAACTGTTCAGCTAAGGAACTCAGTTTCTATGCACCTAAAGCAGAATTTCCAGTGGCATACAAATGGGGAGGGTGGAGGAAAGAAAAAGAAGGAAAGAAAAAAACAAAAACAAACAGGAAAAAAAAAAGATCAGATCATCTCTAGTCTTCCCCAAACATATTTTCAAGGCAAAATAGTTTAATTTACCCTGGAAGGAGTGACTGTGGAGTTGGCGTTGGCCCATTCAGGGCATAGAGGCTGATACTGCTGATCCCACTGCTCCCCATGCTGCCAGAACTCTGGGCAGACTGAGCACTGCGGTCTTGGTAATTCAATGGAAGGCTCTGAGGCCTGGCATAGTAATAAGGGGTTGAGTGAGCATCCCGCGGCAACGCTTGAGCAAAAAGTGTCGCATAGTTCGATACCTGAGAAGGAGAGGATTTCAAAAGGGAGGAATAAAAAGAAAAGATCTGTGAGTTTCTTTAATTCATGTCTTTAGTTAACGGAGTGTAATATTCAAGAATGCAAAAAATAACTGAAGATCACATTTATGCAAAGAAAAAGTTGTTATTACAATTATATTGACAAAAAAGCAAGTCCCTTACAGCTTTCAAAAGTACTTTTAGCAATATAGCTTATTTTTACCTGCAAATCATCATCAGCAATAGCTACAAAAAGCACTTTGGTGCTAGCAGAGCTGCAACCACAGGAGGAATTTTGCTCTCCCTACTCCATTTCAAACTCATTAGCGTGCGAGCGGACATTACACCACCAAGCAGAAAACAAACAAAAAAAATCCACCCATCTAATAAAGTCACAACTTCAGCCCAAATGTTGGCCAGCTCAAAACCTGACATATTCCCTTACTATAAAAAAAATTACACAGAAAGAAATTGCAGATACTTGGGTCAACCATGTTCTTCATTTCAGCCTCACACACAACCACCACAAACACAACCTGAGGTGTTGGTTAAGTCTGGACAGTGATTCTAAATGATATCTAAAATAAGCAAGACACATGGACTGTTTCTCAGAAGCAAAAAAGGTCTCCTCACCTACCTTGTTAGACTGCTTACGTGGATCTTCGCTAAGGCTAAGCAGGAGGTAGAGTATTGACCATTTGTTTTTCAAAATGCCCTTTAAAAAAAGATGAAGACAAATAGAAATTATTTTAACTCTTGATAATGTTTGTTGGTTTTTTTAATTATCCAGTCTACTAACGTGTACATATATAAATCAATTTTCCACACAAATAAGACCAACTCAGAGCCACATTCTTGAGTAAACCAGGAATGTGCAGTGCAGCCTCTTTATTGCTAATTTTATTAATTTTCTCCACCATGTTCAAATCATGAACTCTCACCTGTTCCAAGATTAGCAAGTACACTCAATTCAAAATTCACAACTACTAAGAAAGAGTTTTATACAGAGTTGAACTTTTCCCAGCATTCCCACACACTCTCATAATTAAAAACACTCAGATGCAACTCTAACCTAAAGGTGAAGAAAAACTTTTGGTACAATTTTAAGCAAAGTCTTTCCTGCTCTTTCCCCTTTACTCTCCTTTACAGGGAGGCTTCAAAAGTTTGAGGGTTTCAATTTTTATTACTTTAAATGCCATTTAAGAGAGCTACCAAAATTTTCACAGCTTAAGACAGAGACACTGTTAACACAAAACTTGAGGAATATGCAATATAGTGTTTAGCAAACAGACAAATATAAAGATACAGACTGTTACAGTAACACTCTCAGCAGCTTTAGATCTCAGCAGAAAGCTTACCAGCAGAAGACAGAACAATGCTAAAGCCCAAGCTACTAAAAGAACACTTTGAAGAGAAGAGTTATGGCAAATGCTAAAGTGTTTTAGATATGCATACATTTCTAAATATGTTACTCTGTAGTTCTGTGACACAAACAGCTGCACCTGAATTGATCAGTGATGTAGAACCTTATAATGGATATTTAAGTAATGGAGTAAGTCAAACTCATGCAAGTTCCCTCAATGATATTGATGAGGTTATGGTCTGGAATATTAAGGAATGCTGAATATAAAGGAAACTTCAGTCATATCAAGATTCAACAAAGATTCCATCTCTTATGAAGCAATGTAATTCAGTATTATTAGTCTTGCAAAGAGCACTTTCAAGGTCACTTTGAAATTCTCATTGACAACTGGTGAAGAAGGAGCAGCAACATTAGTGCTTCTTCTACTGGCCAGGACAGAACAAGCCCAGGTGTCTCAAAAAGCATGGTTTGCTCAACAGGGAAGGTGCCAATAAAACAAGCACTGACCTCCTTTTCTCTTTAGTGAAATGAAGTTAAAACAGAATCACAAAAGCTTTTTTCTTTCTCCTAGTTGCTTTCAAGAGAATTGCTGGAGGAAGAAAAGGCCTCATTGATTCAGAAAACATATATTCTTTCTGTGCCCTTCCTTAAGCTCATGTGGAAAAGAAATGATTGTCCACCATTAGTAATAACCCTAACAGCAGACTGAATAATAATTGGTAGAGTGAATTTTAAAGAAGGTGGTATTCAGATGATACCATTTCATGTGCACAAACAAGACACTAACACAGAAAAAAAAGTCAGGTTAAAAGAACCTCAAATATCTGAGCAGGCAGCAAAATACGAGGAGAGAGCTGATGTAAGCTTGTATTACATATTCAGAAGAACAACCAAATTGATTAAACACAGATAACACATTTTATTTCAAAGTTTACAGCCATCATGCTCTGCAGCTACGTTGCCTGCCAAATGCAATGGTATGGCAACACAGTACATAAGCTACAGAAACACGCTCCAGAAAAATCTGTATCAAAAGAGCAAGATCACACAGTGTAATACATGCAAGAGGAGGCGGAAACCAATGGCTGAGGTAATCAGAACAGGTGTCTGCAAACCTGTGACACGTATTTCACTGTACAAAACAATGTGAATAATACACAAACCCACAGGATAAGGAAAACAGGGGGAGTTACACAGTAGCTGCAGCTCCAAGCACTAACAAACTAATGGGTAATTTAAGTATGGATGAGGAGAAGCAGAACAGAGTTCTGACTACTCATACTCCAGTAAATCACTTTTTTTAAAATCTTAAAATCTTAGTATTATCCTGTAAAACTCAGCCATGATCTATATACAAATTAATGAATAAAAAGTAGAAGAAGAGAGAAAATACTTGCAAGATAGTATTGCTGTAAAATAATTGACAAGTTTTACATATAAAAATAAAATTAACATTGTTTTTACAGTTTCCCTTCATATGACGTGCCCCTTTGTGTACCTGTACTTAAACTAAAAAGGTATCCTTTATTCTCTTCTGATTTACAATTAAATCCAAATTAATTTCTAATTAATAGCAAACAGCTCATAGTAAAAAATAAATAAATAAATTTAAAAAAAAGTAACTTGTAAACTTTTTCACAAAAATTACAAAATGGTTGAGTTTGGAAGGCACCTCTGAAGTTCATCTAATCCAACCCCTCTGCTTAAAGCAGAGTCGTCTACAGCAGGTTAACCATGACTGCCTCCAAGGATGGAGGCTCCACAACTTCAACCTGTTCCAGTATTCAACCATCCATGCAGTAAAGTAAAAAAAAAAAGCAAGCACTCTCCAAAACACGAATGTAACATCAGAAGGATGCATGTGTGCTATTAGTTTCTTTATTCTTTATACATTTAATACACTACCTGTGAACCAAGTTTTCTGTAGAGTTCTGAAAACAAAGCAGCATCTGCTTCCCTTCTTTGTCGCACAACTATTAAAAAAAAGATATTAAAAAATTGAAAGTAGTATAATAGTCATGTCTTAAATTACATATTTGTGGTAAATTGGAAAGTGTACCCAAGAAAGTGTAATGATGCTGAACTGTTTCACTCTATTTACTCACACAGTTTTGCCTGTTTTCATGTTATCTGCATTCCAGCCCTGAAAATTCTTGCATCAGAAATGGTGCACACTAAGTACCTGTTTTTCACAGAGCAATAAGAATACACATTTTCCAAATAAGTGTTCTTTTAAAGTCTAGTCTGACATTCTGTAGGGTTAGGGAATCAAAGCATAACTGAAAGCAGGTGAGAGTTAAAGAATGCTATACAGCCCTTCACAAAACTAAGTTTAATTGCTCCTATTTTAGGCAATAAAAGCAAGAAACAAAAGTAGTAACACCACTTGCTCAAAGTCAAACAGAATTCCAAGGTCACACAACTTTAATAAATTAAGAAAAAAACCCAGTCTCAATCACTGCCAGTTACATAACAAGTCTTTGTTCAGAGGAAAAATATCTTCAAGCTTTAAGATGTCTTCGGAAAAGCCATGTTAAATTAAAAAGAGCTACTTTTTAAAAAAATCTGAAGAAATCTTAATAATAAAAAAAATTGTTGTTAAATGTTAGAAAAGTTAATTAGCATCAAAAGCCACTGTTAAGTACATTTTGTTAAATAAATCAGTTCCTGCAAGATCACTCCACTCTTCAAAACTCCTGGCAATAGGCCCAAAGAATATATCCTGTGCTGTCTAGTACTAGCCAAAGCACGGAGAAACTCATCATGCAGAAAGCCTATACTGTAGATTACAGTGTTTTCAAGCTGCATTTAGATAAATTCTGATGGGCTTATTTGCCTATCAGCAAGTCGTGGAAGCTCTGCATTAGCAAAAAATACATGTGTACCTTAAAACAGTTACAGCCACCGACTCCAGTTACCTTAATTCCATCTCCCTGACTGAATATTCAAAGCTCAAATATGAAGCTTTAATTTAATTAGCATACTTCAAGTAATTGTTTCTGGACATTCTACTGTAGAGCAAATGATCTGATGAATGCAGTATTTGGCTTTTCAAAAAAGAATGTATCCCATCCCCATTGGATTTGCAGACTTGACTCAGAGCAGCATAGAGCTATAGCACAGACTGCAACTATAACTTACACTGTCAGGGTCTAATGTTTTGGTTTTGAGAAGGTGGTTGCAGATAAGCTTGTAGAGGAACTGAAAGCAAGAAATACCAGGTAAGTCACAAACAATTCCATCAATTCAGCAATTTTCACACAGGTGCTCATGAAGTTAATTGTGCCAAAGTGTAAAGTGCACATCACAGAAATATCAGTCACAGAATCACAGAATGTCAGGGATTGGAAGGGACCTCAAAAGATCATCCAGTCCAACCCCCCTGCCGGAGCAGGGACCTAAATGAAATTACACAGGAAGGCGTCCAGGCGGGTCTTGAATGTCTCCAGAGAAGGAGACTCCACAACCTAAAAAGTCTTCTAAAAAGAACTACGAATTCATAAAGTCTGAGTACTATTAAGGTGAAACAAGTGCAATATTAATTGCTCTTTATTTTCATGGTGGCTAAGATACAAAGTAAATGGCAACAAGGGAAGTGTAAGCCGAGCATTCAGAAAAATCTGAGCTGTGAATACAAACAGCCACTCAGGAATACTAACTAGGGAATTAATGGAATTTCTGTCATGAGATTTTCAGGGGGTGAGCACTAATAACAGATTAGATAACTATCTGTGAGGCAGAGCTGTCCCATTTTCAGAGGAATAAACGGGTCAAATAACTTCTTAAAGAACTTCCATTCCTACTTCTAAGAAAGAAACAAAGATGCACTTACGTTCTTTCTTTATTTTCTCCGCTACAAGAAATTCATCTCGTTCAACAGTGGGAGCAAAGTTGCTTCCGATAACTCTCACTGCATACTGAAACTGCTGGGCTGCATCAGCTGAAAGAAAAAAGGAAAACTCTCTCAGTTAAGCAGGTGTTAAAGTTCTATTACAATAAATAAATAAATAAAAAGTTAGACATGAGATTACATTGCTATGGCTGCATATGGCATAAATGTACATGGCTTAGATCAGATAATGTCATACCAAATCCTTAGACACACCTCCAAACAGAGGGCAGTAAAGTCCAGTTTAGCCATGAACATATTATCACTGCTATACTTCAAATACACTCTGCAAAAGAATGGCACTTAAATTTGTGAATAAGCCTTTCCTGTCCTGTGCTGACAGAAGAGACACTTTGGCCTCCCCAGGTATAGGAGAACATCAGCACACTTCAGCTGGCTCTGCCCTTCCCACAGGCTGAAACGCTGTGGGACTTGACACAAAGTCCCATAACCCAGCTCCCACATAGGAACAGCACAGCCATGTTCACCAGGCACCCACCTGCAGATCTTTACTCAGATATCCACAACAGGAGTTTTACCAGTTTGTATGTTGGGTTTAGGTGGTTTGTTTTTAAACCAGTTTACATAATTTCACCACTTAGGTTTAAAGCTAGCTCTGAGATATTGTTATCATATCCCAATGCACAATACAATGAAAAGGTCACAAGCCAATGATCTCCCTCCACTGCTCCTTCATCATGCAACAATTCTATTTTTAATATTGTTGCTGAACAGTGTTGTATTAGTGCAAGTATTTCTGCTTTCTGGGAAAATTAGTAGTCTGATAACACTGAGATAAGGTCAGCTTAGTATAAATGCCCCAACAGCATAGTCATGTTCCCATTTATTGACCTGAAAGTCAATCAAACAATAACCCTACAGACACATCGAGTGCCCTTACAAGTGCAAAATGTTGGACAAATTTCTGCTCCTCATATACAAATAACTGTAATAAAACCAAGAGAAAGGTAGGTAACCAAAAGTAAGTGTAAATGTGTGTTGTCAGCTACTTGAATGCTTACACTTCCTCACCTCAGGAAAAAAAAAAATCTAAGCCATTCTGCATATTAAGTCTGCATTGTATACAACAATTTTGTGTCCAAATGCATCTGACTACTCATGTGTTTTATTTAGTCAGTTAATTAGAAAACTTTCAGAGAAAATTGTAGAGCAATGCAGCAATGGTTCAGCCATAGAACAAGAAAGGTCTGGACAAATACCTACAAAAGGAACAGGAAAATGGAATAGGGTAAAGGTCCACTAGAAGCAGAAATATTTTAAGCACTGAATCATCTCTTAAAATAACTAATATTTGAAATTTTAAAAAATCACCTGGGAGATACAAGGAGTCAATTATAGATTAAATGCATGAAAATCTCTAGAAATATATAGAAAAGAGAAATTTGAAATCAGTATCTGCTACATTCTTTTTGAATGTCCATTTTTTACTGTCTTGTGATATAAATGCCATCCGCTGGTCCTACTCTACTAGCATAAAACTGCAGACCAGGAAACAACCAGTTCTGTGCTGCTGTGTGAAGCAGCACTTCACACAATCAGGAAAAAAGTCTGCTCAGGCAGAATAATTAATATTTAACAGTATCTGACAATATTGACCTACAAAAGGAGCAAGGGCACCATCCTACTTTCAGGGAAGAAAATACCAATATCCAGACTACTGTAAGGTCACAAATCTGCATGACTGAAATGCCTCCAAGAAAAAAATAGCTCTGCTGTTAGACAAAGCAGCCTCTCATTTGCAAGGACTTGAAAATACAAGTATAAAATAATTCAATAGTTCAGCTACTGATAGCTTAAACTGAACTGATGAACCAGATGAGAAAAATTAAGTATAATGCATGTCATCACATAACAGCTAAAGATTTCCAAAAGTATTCTGCAAGGCTAATTAAAGTCAAATATTGGCACTAAGTTATCCCAAACATTAGTAAGAGTTTTATCTTTTATCAACTCCTAAACTGTGTACCTAGCAGCAGTTCAGTTCTAGTAATTCTCACATATTTTTGGCATGTTGTTATAGTGACTTAACATGGGCTACAAATTAAAACCAAAATTGCTAGAAGAGTTCCAGGTCAAGCATCTTGGATGAACTAAAGTCAAGAGAAGGATCAAGGGTTGATACCAAAGTACTTCATCAGTTATGACATGTATCTAGATTAAATAATAAACTCTGTCAGTGATTATCCACTAAAAAGCAGGGGAAAATGGATCTCCAGTAAGCTAGTTCAATACAAGTTACAGAAAAATACAAAAAAGAAAGATGCAATTAAAAAAACATAAATAGATGTCTTCTTAAAAACAAACACACAAAATAATAAACATGCAGACACACACAGCCCAACCACAACAAAGCCACCAGAACTTCCCCCTGCAGTTCCTCCTTGCTCATTAGATGCATTACCCTGGTTTTCTAAGGAAAATTATGTTCTGAATTAAAGTCCTATGTCCACCTGCACCACACTAGCCCTTAGGGATGGCACCTTAACTTTTTTTTTTTCTTTCTTTCTTTTTTTTTAATTTTATAGAGGTCTCAGGCATACCAAGTTAAACAGGTTTCATAGAAACTGAGGACTGGTAGAACAAATATCCAAACAGCTCTCCCTGGGGAAGAGGTTGCAGCAAAAGCTCAGTGGTTAAGTATTCTCTCTTGCCTGCCTGGACAGAATGAGCAAGATCAGGTACTGCCTCCTGCCTGACTATGGCCAGTAAAGCCCAAAGGAACAGAGACCTGGAGGAGGAGAGGAGATGATTTCTGAAGAGAGTTACAGGGAATGAAAGTACAGGCTGGCAGTATTGCAGCTGAGGAACACAGGGGGTTTACTGAACAGAAGACTTGCAACACAAATCCACAGGAAATAGATACATTTAACTTTACTGAATGAACTCGTTTCCTTTACACTTATGATCTTGCAGTATATCACAGTATGTCTTTCTTGTTAAGTGTTGAATAAGAAAATATGTAGTTGAGTAAAAAAAAAAAAAAAATGCTATGTCTGGACAATTGAGTGTTACTCATTCAGCTGCTTCTGCTGACTCTCCAGTATATGCTATGATTTATACTGTGATTATCAGAAAAGTTAATGCTTGGAGAAAAAACTAAAAATCAGAGCATCCCATTTTATTTATTTACACTGAATTACAATGCATAGTTTTGCCATGTAAGCAATGCTGTATTTACTGTGCTTATTCACTTTTTAAAAATGTTTTGTTTCTGAACAAAATGTTTCACACCAGTGTTTCAAAAATATTTAAGTGCTATGTTTCCTCTCTGTTGTTCCCTGTGGTTTTGATTAAATTCTAATGAACCAAGATCCACTCAAGTGGGTTCACTGTCTTTAGTCACCTAATGAGATAATTACAAAATCTGGCAAAGCCTCTAGAGACTCTCTGGAATTTCATTTCTCCAGAAGAACTGACTCAGAAAGACTGCTATGCGTTGGCACAAGCTTTGATGGGTTTTTTTATGGTGGGTTTTTTTTGTTGTTGTTGTTGATGATGATGTTGGAATAGGGATTTACCCCAAAATAATAGAGGAAAATTATGGACTTTGCCATTTTGTGTTTTCTAATCTGCCTCTGACACTAGAGTTTTTAAAAGACTATCTGTACTTCTAGTTCTGTGAGACAAGGGAATATTGATGGCAAGACTGAGAGACAAAGAAACATACATTAAAGTTTCTGGACAGAAACCTTGAAGATTTAATCCTACATCCTCAATCTAATAAAAAAACCACAACAGATACATTATTAGTAGTAAGCAGCAGGGGTTTTTCGGGCAAGGGAAGAGTTTTAAGAAAGATATATAACCTTCTATTTCAACACCAACCATAGCAAGACTACTTAAAGCACAGAAACTTAGTATAGTCTTTACCACATTGCCCCAACAAGGCATCCGAGAAGGATCTCTAGTTGAAAGACTACAATTCCACCAAAAAGTTGTGATTATTAAACCTGTTACACTCCTAACAATATGGAACAAAGTTATCTGCTCTTTACACATATAGATTTGCACTGGTAATTCAATAGCATCATAGCAAGACTGTTTTTATAGTCTATTTTTTTAATAATATATTTTATTCAGATTTTCATGTTTTATTCATAGCAAGTCCAGCTTCACTTTTACAAACAAAACTCCCTGCTGTGGGAATTTCTTCAGCAGATTATTTCTTATAAATTTGTAAAATAACTTCAGTACCTAAAGTGATTAAACATAACTTAATATGGTTATCTGACAGTGAAATAAAGATTCACATAGTTTATAACTGACACATTCAATTACTTCCCTCCTCAAAGAACAGCCATTGTGACAGAAGATGGGCTTAAAATATGCAGCTATGTATCTATGTACATGTACATCCTTCATCAAAGAAGGATCACGGTATGAATCTACGATGTAACAGCAAGCTCAACATATCAACATACCCGATACATGACACTGATGCAGCTCTTTGCGGGGTAAGAGGGGAAACAACACCGATCATGACTTGTTTTCCAGAGTCTGATCAGAGCAGCGAATGCAGATAAAGACAGACACTCCCCCTCAGACTGTATCCCTTAAGTAACACACACATACATACACAATTAATGATACTAGTAAGCAGCCATATAGCTGAACAAAGAAATATGACTTGTGCAACACCAAAAAAATAACTTAAAAAAATTAAAACCCCACTCCTTTGAGTAGAACAATCTATCAATAACTCAAAGATCTATACTCCACCTAGCTATTCATGCTTTCCCTCAAACAATGCAGTATTAAAACTGAACTAGTTCAGAAAGCAGATAACAGCATTTTAAAGTCAAAGAACATACAAGTGTAGCACATGTGAAAAAATATAGAAGCAATGCACAGGAAGAAGTTGGTTATAAAAAAAGGCAAGTAGAAATAGGACAAAAGGTGAAGTTTAAAGAAAAAGTTCAAAAGACAAAGAGACACTTGGCCAATATACTTCCAAGTAGCCAGTTTTTCAGAGGAAATACTGAAATTCAGCAAGTAATTTGCTAAAAAGAAGCTTCTAACATTACCTAGAT